GTGTGTGGTAAAGGATAACACGTTTTTATTTATTATACACGTTTTCGTAAAACGTGGGGAGTCAAGAAGAGAAAAAAATTATGGATATATATATATATATATATATATAAAATCTTCTTTAGAGACGGAAATCGATGTATCATGCGATATACGATATATAGGTTGCAATTTAATCGAGGTCTTGTGTATTTTAATTTAAAAATTTTGATCGAGGGATAAAAAAGAAAAAGAAGAAGGGGAACGCGAAAGCTCGTTAATGTCCCTTATAGGAAGTTAAGTGGAAAGTGCGCGTTGAGAGCTGTCGAGGAAGCTTTCCATCAGCGGTGGAGATGGACGACAAGGAAATAAAAGAAAGGATCTCACTTGAACGGGCAATCACGTCCCCCCAAACAAATAAAGACAGTGATGGATATATCCACTCGATCTATCGTATGAAAAACCAACTTCCTCGGATATATCCACTCCCGCCGCTTAAAGAGTTAATTCAAGTATCCTTCAGGGAGAATTTCCTCCGTGGCCGAGTGTCGTTCAACGTCGAAACACAAACATAAATTGCAGAGAGGAAAAGGAATCGACCGATTCAATTGCCAGACCCAGGATCGAGGGACTCGTATTTTTCTTTCACCCCAACTTCGAACCTTCCCCTCTCCCCTCCGATACGAGACTCCGGGATTTCGAGGACGAGATCTACGCGCGACGAAATCGTGGACGAATCGAACGAGAGAAACGATTCATAATCACGGGTGGCGCGTAATGCAAATTCGCGGAGACGAATCGAGACGATTTGATTTATTTAAGAAAACCTTCTAAATAAACCTTCGCGCGAAATTCGTGAATCGTTCGAACTTTTTTAAGTTACGCGCTTACGTAGGCATCGTTTGCACAATGGGCGTTTGCGTTGCAAATTTTTCGCTCTGCCGGGTCCAATTAAAAAAATATATACACCCATCTACCATACCCCTCGGGACAGAGAAATTTTGTTTCGGGGCTCCGATTTCCTGGAAATTATTGCGATCGAGCAACCGTGACTGGAATTTCGGGAAACACCCTGTATATACGTATACGCGGAGCGCAGACTCGCTGTGCCTGTCTACACCTATCTATGTATACAGCTACGTGTGTGTGCGTACATGCGCTCGTGTACGGAACGAAGCGCGAGCGTGGAACGGTGTGGGCGCGTTCTCCACGCATGATGAGGAACGAACGGAATCATAAATGTCCGCTCTCTGGTGTGACACGGTTGCGGGAACCCGAGCGAGTCATGACATCGCGAGAAGATATCTATAGATAGGCTGGACGAGGGAATGAAAAGGGAGAAATTTATGCCGTCCTCGTGATGGGATTTGACGGCGTAGACGGCGTGGATTTTCAACGTCGAATCGTCACCGGAAAATCGTCACCGTCGTCCATCTTTATCCCTCCTCGACTCGATCTTCAATAACTCCTTCCTCTCTCTTTCTTTCCTCCATCATCGTCCCTTTGCGGCGTATCTTCTTTTCCCTTCCCCTCCTCTTTCCTTCTCGATTCTCTTTGTTGAATATCGTTTCGCGGGTACGACGAAGATCAAGTTTTCGAGTTCGTCGCGTCGCGTCACTTTCTCCCAACGTAGCTACTTGGCAAACATGGTCAACTATGGAGGAGAAGGAGAGAGAAGAGGAGGAGAAGGAGGAGGAGGGGGAAGAGATTGGCCTACTTTACATTTCACGCTCCATCTCCGCCGGTGTCCCGTATCTCGGCTCCTCTAACCGAATACATATATATATATGCACGTCCATCACCCGTGCACCGAGATAGCGTTAACAAGCTTTATATAAGCAATGGCCCAGAGACCGATCTGCTTGCCTCCCGAACATCAAAGGGATCCGTGCTTCCTGCTCCGTGCTCCCGTCCATAGAGCGGAGCGCCACGTCAAGGGCCCCGAATCGAGTTCAAGGAACCGGCTCTCACGCTAACCGATAATGGCGCGAGAGGAGATTAAAGCACGAGAGAGAGGAGGGGGAGGAAAGAGGATACCCTTTCGATTCGGTAACACTTGTCGTGGAATAATTCCACGTTGGTAGGGAAGGAAGGGATCGGAGGGAGGGAGGAGGGGGATGTTTCTGACCGGCCCTGTTAGAGAAGCCGATGATCACGAGGGGTCGTCTTCGTTGCCCGGTACCGGTGAAAATCGCTACCAATCCTGTTCACCACCCATTCAAAGAGAGGGAACTTTCCAAGTTGTGGTTATTGGCGACCGATCGATCCTCGCCGTAACACTGTGTACACCCTTTCCCGTGGATAGCCATGGGTAAGCTTTGCCTTGGCCTGCAACACACACTCGGCCTGCCCACCACCGCCATCACCACCACCACCACCCCCGTTAAACCTTCCCACTCTTATCCTCGCCCCACGAGAATTCTCCCGGCTCGACCTATCTATCTCCGTTCGCCCCAGAGGGACAATGGAAGCCTTCGCTCCCCGGGGAATATCAGAGGATAGGAGTGTGGTGCTGATGCTTCTCCGGCCGGTCGCCGATGTAGCCACCCCGACCATTGGCCGGCGGTGAGAGAGCACTTCCTGTTAGCCTCGACCCTCGTCCGCAACCAGCCGCAGGCCGCAAGCCTCGGCTCCTGCGAGCCGTAACCTCTAACCTCATGCTGTTCGCCCTGACCTCCCGCCGACAGCGTAATTGTTTAGAAACCCCTTGATCTGTAATTTCAGCGCCCGGTCTCCTCTCTACACGAAACATCGTTAACACCGTCCTCTCGCCCCCCCCCTACCCTCGCCATCCTCCTCGTTCTAGCTGGCTTCTTGCACACGCGATGCCTTTCTCTCTATTCCCGCAACCCGTCCTTTGCTTTCTCTTGCCCTTTTTCTTTCTCTCTCTCTCTCTCTCTCTCTCTCTCTTTTGGCACGGGCCACGGTAGTCGATATCTCGCGCATGCACCGCCGTGTATCGCCTTTCGTTGATTCGTCGGACGGAACAAAGTTTCGAAAGTTTGTCGGTTTCGCCACCGACGACGAGGGGCGAAAAACCAATGAGTTGTCGCGCGATGGATCGCGTTTAATCCTATCCCTCTTTCCCCCTCGGAGTTGAGCTCGCGTCTGCCGACACGAGTGGTGGCCAAGTAGTATTGAACGATAATGGCCAGACCGGAGTTATTCTGCTGAGAGGATGGAAAATCTTTTTTTTTTTTTTTTTTACGAGCTTTTTTATTCGAGATTCATTCATTATTTTATATAAGCTTTTCAATCGGTACAATTATTCAACGATTTTTAATTTTTTTCTTAATTGAAACCATCGATATTATATATTAATATCGAAGAATAAACTTTTGGGAGAAACGATCTTTCCTCGGCTAAGAATAGTTGTCGTTTCAAATCATTGCTTAAGAAAATAATTCGCATAAATTGGAAATGGATATAACGAAATAAATTTATGGAAAAGTGGTTACGAGTATTTTGCTCTCAGTGCCTATTCAAAAATGCGAAATGCTCTCCTCCACGGGAACAACCCGAGGAAAAATTCGTTCCACAAGTTTGGAACGATGCACGAACGTTTCATTTCTTCTTTTCCAGAAAGAATGGGGGAGATGCGCCCTTCTCTTGTGTTGCGTGACAAAGGATTCTTTCGGGCCGAGTACAGGGATTTATGAATGCAGATGATCGAAGGCCATTTCAAATCTCTTTGTAAGTACGCGCGTTCTCTACGACCATACCATCGAGTTTTACCTCCGCTTACCCACGCCAATTTTTTCCCCTTTTACACGAGAACATTCGTGTACGCGTCTAATTCGCCTCATCAGTATGTATAACGTTGCCTCGTAACAAAAGGATTTAAATACAGAGTTCAATTACCCTCTCGTAAGTCTTACGCTCGTTCGAAACTCGATATGGAGGAAGGAATGGAGAAGACGTATGATTTCATCCGAGGGGAAAAAGGAAAAATTTTTTTGCCATCGAACGACTCGTTTTTTAACAATTCGCTAAATGCTTTTAATGAATCGATATTAATTTCATCGAACGATGATCGTGGAACGTGGAACAATATTTTACGTGGGGCGAATTCAACGTGGAGGGAGAGAGAGGTGGGAAGGGGAGGGGAGGCTGATGTGAAAATATTCCAAAGTTATTTTGCAGTTACTGAAAATTATCGGTCGAAATTTTTTATACACCGCGTTGCTCTTATCGAGCGGAGCGCAGAGGAATATAAAATAATTCGTGAAATATCATAAGAGTATCGGCAAATATTCATCAGGATCATGCATAAGATATGAAATTGTGTCTGGTAAATATTTGAATGGAATTAATTACGCAAGCACGCTTCGGAGCGGATATTATTGGAACAGTAAAAAACAATTTTAACTGGCAAACAAGGTCAGAATGGGATAAATATTTGAATCCGATACACTTTTTAAACATTTTTATATGCTGGAATTATCCTCCACCTATCTACAATTCCAAATATTCTCTGTCTATATAATCTTCGTATAAATGTTTCCCTATTAATTCTCTACACGAATCTTGACACCTATCGGTTAAAAACAACATTCTCGATCAAAGGAAATTTTATCTAAATTCCGAAATTTCATAAATAAACACCGAACAGAAATCACAAATTTACCGATTCTGATTTCGAAAACAAAACAAAATCCTCTACGTAAAATTTTGATATTTCAAACTCTTCTTTGAGTTGAGGAGATGTTCAAAACGCGAGAAAATTTGCCAGCTTTAATCTAAGCGAAATCAAAATTGTCTGCACCAGGTTACGAAATTTACCAATTGGAAAAATATTCTCGACCGACCGAAATTTCTCCTATCTCTCGAAATCTCGAGAGATCCAAACGCGAGAAACTCTCGTCATTTAAATCGACGTAAAATCGTCCTAATTTATCCGAAATCTCGAGAGCCTCCCCTCCCCCCGCCTCCCTATTTTCTCTATCCTAAAAATCTCATCGAGGAATCGACCGACTTTTTATATTGATAACGATAATAAAATATAATTTGGAAATGCTACTTACGATCTCCTCCAGCTTCGAGCAGCCTTTCCTCGCCGTGCAGGCCAAGGCGACGATCACTCCGCCGCCGAACATGACCAGGAGGAACACCGCCAACTTCCATCCGTGATCTCTCTGCGGAATGAGCTTCTTGGCGCTTGGCAACTTGGCAACTTCCGTCGTCGAGACGCCGAGGCGCGACGCCTTCACCAGAATCGTCCTGAGCCTCTTGCTCGCCTTCTCGCACGCCATTTTCGCCGGGTTGCTCCTCGACGTCGATCTCGACGATTTCACGTGCACTTGATCCATCCTTCGTGATTCAGATTCCAACGCGTGGCGAAGAACGAACGTGACACTCGCGCATTACCAATCACCAAAATGTATAATCTTTCTATTTGATACGACGAATATATATATATATATATATTAAAAGAGTCACGTACGGTTGTAAAAATTTCTACAAACTCTCGTTCCTTTACAAAATTAAAAACAAAATTGAATCTATCTTTTTTTAAATCTAGTTATCATAAAATATTATATACCTCTAATTCGTTTTTCTTCTTCTTCTTTTCTTTTCTTTTTTTTTTTACGTATAAATACGATAAAATTGCTCGAAACAGCCAGAAGCGTTCGCGAAGCGAGGCATCACAGAGAACGGTGTCACTTCGTATATATTATAAGATCCATCCAAAAATATAGTCTCGACGGTGAGGGTTTAGGATAGGTTTACGAGATCACCCCAACGGTTCAACACCGTCCGTGACCGAGTATATTCTTCGAGGGATCGTTCCTCGAAGAAACGGCCACTCTCGTCTGTCACGTGGAATACAGTTGGAACGAAGCGTCGAAAGTTGGCCGGCGTACCAATTCCTGGCGGGCGTTAGAAACCGGTGGTCCTCGTCCACGGCTTTACGTACGGCTCACGTAGATGGACACTTGTGTGCGGGTTTTACGAGATTATATCGTCCAATGGTGCGCAGATATCGCGGTCCGCTTCCCTCTCACTCTTCATCCCTCCGTCGTCCCCCATAAGTTATATCTTTACGATGGAAGGAACGGCATGAGAAGGGGGATGGAAATCGGTCAAGATACGACCGAAAGATGAGATAATCCAAACGAAAGCGATGAAAATCGTGTCGCTTTTGTCTTTTTGCACCACTACTACGCACACATACACGCACTCTCTAAGACGCACTTTCCAAGAAAATTCACCTCGTTCTCTCGATCCCGATCGACTCGAAATGGTTATTCTCACGGTTTGAAACGTTCGGCCGGGGCGCAAAAGAGGCACGATACTATCTCGTTCGATCGGTTATCGTTACACCGACGCCCTCGACGACCAATTCCAACGGCTTAACACACCCTTCCCTTGGTTTCAACTTAGCGTGCATTGATCGAGCAACCGGGATTAAGACGATCGAGGAGACGGTCGCGGGACGCGGTAACGAAAGGTACTTCGAGCCTGTCCAACACCGTGCTCTTTTTCTCGACGATGAGAGGGGTTCGTGAGAATCTTCACCTTCCTCATATTTATTCGACGATTCCTCGATAGAATTTCACTCTTCCCTCCTTCATGGCGGCCGGGTTTAAGAAAGTGGTTTAAGAAAGGATTCCGATATTTTATTATCCCTCGAGCTTTCCCGTGAATCGCATCCTCTCACGGTTTTCCGCTAAGGAAGGTGGATACGCTTCGTTTCACGCTCCGCTCGGCAACGCTCGCCTCACGGGATGGAACTCTAATGGGGCGGCGATTTCTCGCATCCCTGGAGCACGTGTGTCGTTTCACCACGGTCTCACCTGGAAACAAAAATATCCGTCAGAGTGGCCGTTGCTTCGGTGCATCGTGAAAATCCCCCTTAATTGCGGGATCCCACTGATCGCCGGGGAAAATCGTTGCTCCGCTCCTTGTGGATTGTTTCGAATTACTTTAATTGCGCGAAAGAGAGAGAGAAAGAGGAAAAAGGCGGGAAAAAGTTCGACGCGATGGGAAAAATAGGATAAATCCTAGAGAGAGAGAAAGAAAGAGAGAGAGGGGTGGAACGAGTATGGTGGCAAATGTAAATACATCTTAAACCTAAAAATCTACTTCTTTCGTAATCATTACATCGCACAAAATAATAAAAATTCGAGAATAATCCATGAAACAATTTTAAAATTTCTCGTCCCAAGTTTGTATCTAGAAAATTTCCTCTTGATTCTCGCGACGTTTAATTTCTTCCTCGTCTCGGTGGATAGGCGGTATAAAAATAATTTGAAAGCGAAAGACTTGACGCGCGAGCCCGAATCCACTTTAAAAAAAAATAATAACGGAAGAGCCTCGGTTTATTATTCGTTCCTCGAAACGGCAGCAAGCAAGAAGAAAACAATAATAATAAGAAAACGTCTCTTGGGCGTGAAGGGGTGGGTGCCAAACTCGGCGGGCGCAATTAACAGAGGATTTAAGATTAACCGGTAAAGAATTACGAACAAGAAAATGGCATTCAAGTTGCGCGCGTATATACGTAGACCGACAGAAACAGGATTAAGTGGACGGAATTCGAGAGCCCGGAATCCAAGGTAATTCTCGCTTAATCCTCGGACACGGCCCTCCACGGACGAACCGTTCACCCCCACCGATTCCACTGCAACGGGAGTATTTTCGTCCGTGATATCGCCCGTCCAAAGATAATCCCATCCCCGATATTGCCTCCATCTTTAATGCACTCAAAATCCATCCGGTCCGAGGGTACACGTCCAGCTTTCGACAGAAATAAGATCTCTATAATCGAGAATATCACCCAGCCCTTGCTTCCGCAAACTTTACCCGAAAACACCGATCCTATCGATCTTCGATTATTCTCCAACCCAAGAACGAGCGATTTTGGTTTTTCTGCCGATTGGTTAAATACGCGTAATCTCGCTACGAGATTAAAATTAAAATGGATATCTCGTTGTGTTTGCCGTACATTCCGAAATACCGTGGACCGCTTTCAAGGGATAATTTAACGTAAGTTGGAAGAGATTTATGACGAATTTGTGATGAATTTAAAAACTGGTGGGGATAATTAATCGTTCATTGGAATTTTTGCGTCGTCCAATAAAAGTTTCCATTTCTTGGAACTTGTTTCCTATGCTCATTTCTATGCTGTTGTATTATTAATCCATTGGCAATATAGCGAGGAGAATAATATTTTCAAATTTTATTACTCTGATCTACTGATCATCGAAAATTTTGAATATGGAAGATTGAGAGTAATTTTGTAAACGCTGTCGGAATTTCGATGAAGAAAAAATAATACTTTATTAATAATGCTTTATTAAAAAGAAAAAAATTAAATATTAGTAATAAATTAAATGACAGTAATAAAACTAATAAATATAATAGCGATTTAAAAACGAAATTAACTTCAAACCATTCTTAATATACTTTATAATCTATTATCCAATATCCAGCTTTATGTTTTTATAATATCCATTCGTTATAGTCAATTTTTGCTTTAAATCCATTTCATATCCTGCTTTCCCCAGAAATTTTTCACCGATACACGTATTACACAAAATGATCAAACATTCTCTTCAACGTAAACTATAAACAATTCAATACAAATTCTCATCGTCAAACTCAAACTGATTATGCACTCGCAAATAAATTACATCACACCTGCATTACTTCTCTGTTGGAACAATATATTTAGCATTAAATCCATTTTGTCTTGTTACTTTATCCGCAAAATAATAAACAAAGCTCCTCTCATTAAATCAACAGACGTTCGAAAACCTTATTTTGCGAACCAAAAACTTACAATTTAGATTCGACAAATATATTTTTCTCATTAATAGTTTCTCAAATTCTTCTTCAATTAACACAATGATATATAAATAAAGTCAATCATCATCGATCGAACTATCATTCCCAAAGGAAAATGGATTAATTCTCGTCTCGTTATTAACACAACAATTGAACCAAACAACTTAAAATCGATTTACAACAGATCTCTTACTTCCAACACAAACTTGCAAATATTATATCTTTAACAAAATTAATAAAATGATCTTTAACAGATTATTCCAGACACGGTTAACAATACCAAGGGAACACCGTTGAAAAAAGTATACGCCACAATAAAATCCCTAAAACACGAAAGAAGTTAAAAACGATGCACGATCCATTGTCCTTCGATCCATTAGGATCGAGAACGCGGATACGAAGAAAGTTCTCCACGGCTCGCGTTACCCGTATCTAAATCACTTGGCGCTAACGATTATCTCGATCCGGGGACGTAATCTTAACCGAGCTAATTCTCGCTCGAAACTCCCCAGGCTGCAATAGTCGTAACGTTCGCGTGAAAGGCCGCGTATGAGAACGTGCCAAGAAAGCGCGCCGTTTTCAGACCTTCTCAGAACTCTGCGAAGTACTTTCCTTTTAATCGCGAATGTATGTAACTCTGGGTTAAAAGCATGTTAAAGGCTAAGCGAATCCCGCGGCGCCCTTTCTAACGGAAAGATTTCCACGAATCTCGAGAATCCCTCGTGTTTCATCCCCGCCACCACGCTCTCTAACCCTCTTCTTCTTTTCCTCCTCTTTACGGGGCGTCCGCTAATTAACGGGATCCGATCTACGCGATTCGAATAACGCGTATCCTCCAACGAGCTTGTTACTAATCTCCCAAAATTAATCACCGTTGATGCACGCCCCCCTGCTCGATCCTTGATCGCGTTGCCCTTTAAAAGCTTCGAGATGTTCGGGCGCGAAGAGGATAAACGATGGTTGGAGGGGTTGAGTTTAAATTCTGCCCTGAGAGCAAAAGGCAACTCGGCGTGCGTCGAAAAGCAAATGACGAGAGTAAAGTTCTGTCATTAAAGTGTATAGGAATCGGCGTGATGAAGTTGCTCGAAACTAAAAGTAGAATTTAGGGGTGGGATGGTTGGATCGAGGATAGAGATCGACTAAAAGTCTTCGTATCCGGTTCATTTGGTAATGGTGTCACCAGTTTAAGACACCCTTTGACTTTTAACGCTAATTTCGCAATTGCGATTTTAATTTTCGTAATTTTAATCTCACTCGCCCCGCATACGTTCATTTGAACGATTTTTATTTAAGAATTCTTTTTTCCTTTCGTTTCAGTGGCGAATTGTTAAACTCTCTTTCGTTGCTTTTGGGAATAATAGTATGATTAGATATATCTAACGAAGCTCGTGGAATTCTGCAGGATTATCTAAACTAGAATCTCCCAAAGCAATCTATTCTTCTTTCGGAGAAATAAATATATCGAAATAATCTATAATTATATGCAACAATCCTATTCCTCTTAGTTAAATCACCCTTTCGTCCAAAATTTTTCAAAATTCACTGCGCAAAGTTCGCAGAATAAACTAAATTAAAACTATCATCGCCATTATCATAAACTCACAATCTCATCCGTTAATGCCCACATTCGTCCGCGTGCCGATCTCGAAAATATATAATTTCCCGCGTAAAAGCGTGCTCGATTGAAACTTGCCCGGTTGAGCGGCAGGGCACGTTTTCGAGAAGAGAACGTATCGCCGAAATTTCGGCCGAATTGTTAACAAGGAGTCTTGCCGTTCACGTCCGACCTAATTCGATTGTCAAGTGTCTTCGTCCGTTCGGATTCACCCCCGGTATCAACTGCGGGTTTCCGGCCAAACCGGAAAGGCAGCTTTTTGCCCACGGTATTAGCCCCGTGTTGACCATCGTGCGCTCGTGACTGCGCCGCTCCGTGACCGAGTATCCACGATGTGAATATCCAGGTATTTTCCAACGGTGGAAGATCACCGCCGCTTTATCCGATAAAACTCGATGAAGAAGTACGGGCGGAAGGCATCGGCCAGGAGATAGTCGTCGTCGTCGGTCGGTGCATCCCGTGGAAAATGAGATACCTTAATAAGACGCCGTCCCAACGCTGTAATTACGCGTTCCAACTTCCTTCTAGCTATTTTCCTGCTGCGAGTAATTAGAATACCGATAGTTTCGCCGTGAGCGCCCCACCCCCTCGCCAAACTCGCCTTTCTCTTTTTACTTCCGGCAAGAATGCGTTTCCAAGGATTTAACAGGGGATGCGCTCAACCTCCATCCCTCGAGGATATCGTACGTATATATATATATATAAGAACAACTCTTCTCGAGCTGGGTGGGAAAAGACCCGTTTCGGGAATCGAAAGGTTGGTATCGCGATACGAACGAGAGGGAGAGAGAAAGGGGAGTCGTTTTATCGCTTCCCTTCGGAAGAAAATTAATTATGGAACTGGATCGAACGATAATTCTTCGCGTCGTATCGTCAAAGATGATTTTCCTTTGGAGGGAGGAAGGGAGAATCGTGGAGAGGGTGGGTGTATAGAGGAGGGTTGAGGCTATCGGGGAGGCTATAATTCAAGGCGCGGTGGATTTTTCATTAACCGTGAAAGAGTAACGCGACGCGGGCTCGAACGAATGAGGGAGGATTAATCAACGCGTTTGTGTTAACACGCGTTCGCAGCCAGCGTTTTCCCATCGGCCACGCCCCCCACTCGGTAGTTAATGCACTGTTAAAACGTGTAACACATCGAGTAACGCTTAAGCGGGCTCGATTATTCGTGTTTACAAATTTCGGGAGCCGGTGAACGGTGATGGAGCGGTGGTCGTTTCGTTTAGTTTGCGGCCCGTCTAAACAATTGAATTTTCCCAATTTCCCGTTTTCGAGTTTCTCTATTTGCCTGATAATCGAATTCTTTTCTTCCTTCCTTCCAGGTTTTGTTCTCTCGTTCATGTTTCATCGAGAGAACACGAGGGAGGAAATTTTCTTGTTGCACGTTGCGCGTTC